GTTACATTGCCTCATAGTAACTTTTAAAATGATCTTTCTCACTCCCATTGACAATCCAGCAGACTGTTTCAAGAAAAGTGGTAGGGATCCTTTTCATAAAAAGGGATCACGTCTGCGTCTCCTGCAATGTGGTCTAATTTCATCACTCTATGTGATAACGAAATGAGTTAACTGCTGCTTACATTGTAGTTTGATTCAGAAAGAATAAACTCGAAACAATCATGATAGCTGGTTACTTGCATGTTTCCTAATTATGACCGATTGAGCTGAGAGGCGTCAAAAGATGATCATGGTCAACAGGGTAACCATGATCAAATTAATACTATCCCTGGTCTTCTTAAAAACTTTCTGCTTCTTTCATAGTTTTGATGGTAATAATCTTAGATTCAAATATAACAAAAAAGTGGCTGAAAGTCTGAAAGTGTATTCTTAAGAAAGTCTATTCTTAATTTGGCATCGACTTAGAAGCTTGTAAGACATTTTAAGATGATTTATCATACTTGCTTCATGGGTTTAGTTTTACTTGAATTGCATGTTTCTTTGGATTTTTGAACACTGTGAGTTTTAGGGTCCGACAACTGGTGAGCCCATTCTAGGTTATAGGACGGATATGTTCGGAAACTTCTGCATCTAGTTAAAAGTTCTGATTTGCTATATACTCTTCAGCACAGTACGCACCCGCTTCTATCATGGCTTCAGTTGGGTGCCTCAGATATCTATAGTAATTGATTCCATAGCAGCAGCCAAGTAAACTGATCTAAGTTTAAAAGAATCGCGAGAGATTTTGGTATGAAATGCATCGAATTCAGCAACACGCATATTTCTCACATGTGTGGAATCCCATACACATAACTATCAAAAGTATTTTCTCAAACAGTAAATCTTCCCCACTCATAAGGTCCTATAAAAGCAAAGAAATCATGGATTCAACAACATGCATTCAAAGCAAATGTGCATCTTTGTCGACGGTGCAACAATTTCTACTTCAAACTCCTCACCACGTTCCTAGCGGCATATTGAATCGGCAGAGAAACGGACCACGCTAAAGGGACCATCCCACTTGAGGTGGTAATCCTATTTGAATACGTCATCCTGTAGCACTTGGCCAAGTGGAGCGGCACGCTTTTGCACGCGTACGGTGGCGTTTCGCCTACAGCTGGCGTAAGAGTACTCAAATACGAGGTCGGTGCGTGCCATCACTTCCACAATATGGCTACCGGTATAATCGAAAGAAGACCTTTTAAGAAAAGATCGAAGAGTAAAGTACGCAATGCAGCTACCGTAGAAGTACCGTTTCCATACAACGTTTTACAGTATACTGTTTACAGCGAAATCTTCCACATTGCACAGTGTTACAGCTTACTGTAGTAACACTTTATCCATCGATAATACTAAGCATTCGCTGTATTCAGATGCTAATCCCTTGTCACTCAACCTGCAACTAATATCGTTCCGAATTGCGCTGCTCCGGTGCCCTTTGCACAGTTTACCTTTCCTCTTAGTGTCATTTTGACTTCTGAAGATGCCGACTTGAGAATACACTCAAAAGCGTGAGCGTTTTGGCAGTCATATCAGGTATCATATGCTGTTGCCTCCCTTCCTGGCTTTTTCGTTTGTTCTTTTGGCATTAATGGCAATGCTAAACAAAGTTTGGATGTCTTAGTTTATTTTGCTAAGAATCTAGACTTGTGTATCACCTATTCTCAACAAGCCAAATCTGTTTCGTCGCCTTGAAAACATTTTCAAAACACATTCCATTGCGTATGGCATCAAATGTAATTCTTTTTGAGCAATTTTGAACATGGCGAAGCTGTTTTTTTGCTGTAAGATGTGGAAGACATGGTTAGTCCCAGAAACTTGAAGGTGGCAAGCAGGCATGTTCTCTACTCAGTGGAAAGTGGATTTGAAGTCTCACCAATTAGTTTCCTGGCCTAAGCTCCAATCGTAGAAACACCAGGAAAACTCATTTTTTGGTGCAAAAATGAACCGCATAGTTATAACCGATTTTAGCAAGCCGGTCTGCACTCAGCTACTGAAACCGCAACTGACTGGCATTATCAGCACTCAGGATCATGTTACTGACAGCGAAAGTCTGTTACAGTCTTCGAACTCAGAATGGAATGGTCAGAACTTAACTCAGCTATACCATACGGGCTATATCATCGAGCTCGCCTTGGAACGCTGATTTCAATCATATGTTTATTATCTGCCGAACAACTATCTGGAAGAAGTTATAAGCTTTTGAGGGTGCTATTCGTTGAGTGTTCTGTGGCGCATGCTCCACGAGAGACGTCTCAAAATCACTTATTTAGGTTTTTGGTGAATGTGATTCTTCATTGTAATTAGAATACCCATAGCCACTGTAATCGACGCCATCAGGCTGCCTTTCGGCGGATTGTATTCGTTGAAACTCGAATAATTTCCCACATCTGACCGCTCATGACTGCTTCCAGATAATCGTTCGTCAGATAATAAACATTTGTTTGATTCATCAGTTCAGGGCAACTTCGACGATGTACAACATGCCGGAATGACTGGGTCAAGTTCTGACCATTTCCTTGTCGGCTTACCTTGCAAGGGCTTCCAGCGGCAAGCTCAGTGTTCCTGATGGGTAATGAGAGCTGTTTTTTGCAAGACAGAAACTACCATCCAGTATGCAGTGTAGTTTTATGCCTTACTTTGGCAAAATTTCTGTGTTCTAAAGAGTCCGAGCAAAATTTTTTAAATGTCGTAAATTCGCCCACCTTAAACGAGCGCTACTTTATTCATTGTCATAGCAATAATTCGGAGTACACTAAACCATTCACGATAATTGAAGATAGATAAGGACCTCACAATCGGCGTGCTTAGTTCATGACAGCCTTCTATCACTTTGTTAAATCCAATGCAAGAAAAGGACAAGACTACAGTAATGGACAGAGCCCACAGTATCATTCAGGGAGCTGCCAACATGAACGATAGTTTGTACCAGCCATATACGTTGCGTAGGTCGATTACTTTTCAAATTTTATGTTTACGTTATGTTGGCGTTTAGAATTTGGAAAAAACAAAGCTCCGTATGCCTCAATTCTTACTGTCCGACACTATTTTCAATCGAAAATTGAGGCTTCGTGCGCGGCATATTGACAGCCGCAAGAGTATACTACAACGTACACTTATTTTCAGCTATCATTCATTTTGGCATACACCCATCATTCGAGTCTTATCTCTGTTTATAGCTAGATTATAATCTAATATCCAACAAACATTGAATGAGTCTGTGGTATTTGCTATCTCGAATCATACTGTATTTGAATTTCTAATTAGAAGAGTTACGAGGTCCCAAATTTACACGAAAAGCTAAACATACTTTGAATCTCGTTGGACAAGTTTTGAGAGGAGGAGGCAGCTGTAGCCCTTTAACCCTTTAGGACTTGGTGGTGGCGATTGCCACCATCAACTTCAGTGGCAATACTAGCAGAATTCTACTGCTTGTTACTACGCTAGCTCCAGACAGCCTTTACGTTCCTAATGGTGGTTTGCAACTCCCATTTCATTGATGGTGATGTTAGCAATATAACAATCTTTGTGTGCAACTGAGTCTCAACTAATCAATAGCGGTTTTCTGTCGCAGCATCGGCGAAGAAAATGTCGGTTATCTCCTTAAATAGTTGAGATGCGTTCAGACTATTATCAAAGTGAAGTATGATGTTGTACGAGGGCAGTTACTGGGAGTTCGCCATTCCACCTTTGTTGAAAAAAATCAAAAAAAGAAATTTTGAAAAATAATTCAAAATAAAAACATCTTGTTGTCGGAAAAGTTCCAAACTTCGCTGTATTGTTACAGATGATCACTAATCATGAACACCATGTGAGCAGTTCTCTTACTGGGGTAAAGTCAATTCCTAAAGGGTTAATGCATTTATGACGATGCATGTGGTTTTTGAATGGGATTGACTGAGCCGGCACGAGCCACAAACTTCGTGCAGCATTGTCATGTATAGTGGGATCGGCATCCGGTCGATTACGTCTAATTGTCCACCTGTAAAGATGCCGCCGTATAGAAAAAGGATAATCCGCCTTCTATTGGGAAGATCGCCTCAGTCCGACACCAATGAGTGAAGTTGGTGATCCGCGACTGAGCTAATTGCTACTACATTAATTGCTTGGTGCTAATCAGTTGGGCACTCTCAGCTCCCCAAGCCGTAAATATCGAAAATGGATTTCAAAGGGCACAGAGTGCCAGGAGTGAGAAACTTTTTAGGATATGGAGCAACTTAACGGTTGTCGTGGTTCGCTTGCTCATAATCCTCTTTTTTGAAAATCTGTTCCATTTCGTTCCCATAACGTTGCGCAATGCGCTATGACTTTGACATCGAAATCCGCGGTGCACTACAAACGACGAACAAACAAGTACGACAGCGTTAGCACTTACTTCATCACACTTAGCAACACGTATGGATGTTTACACAACCCCTGTGAGCCCCTATATCCATGTTCCGCCGACTTGGAAAGCCCTTCGTCATCCGCAGAGATAGGACTTCTCCCATTTTGCTCGTCACACGCAGCAAAAGATGGGCTTCAATACAATGGTTGTCACTCGGGAAGCCTGACTGAGCTCTGCTTGCAAACACATTCGGTGAAACGAAGATTTTATACAAATAAGAATGACCTAACTGTATCGTGAGATGAATATCGTGAGATCCGCAAAGCACAAAAAGAATGAGTTCTTATTTAGTTTCATGTGATATGACTGACAGTTAGAAAAATGACACGGCATATAGAATCATATCTAATAACATTAGATTAAATGGACAAACATTTACAAACGACGGTTACTGAGAAAACAATATAGGGTGCTGATTAACCGAGAAAAGAGCGATCGCTTTCCTTGCCCTGGATATCCTGAGATTGAGAGTTGAGATAATCAGCTTCTCCTTGTCGCAAAAGTCACCGTACTGGGAGAATAAGCAGATTGTTAATAAGTAACAACGCTGCTAGCAAATAAGTACAGTAATTCTTTAGAGTTGACCGCAATAAGACGGGTTTTGTGGTGTGTAGTCTGACGTGTATCCATATTGTTGATAATAATTTGCAGGAGTAGCATAGAAATTGTTGTAGATAGAGTAGTTTGCGGTTGGAAGTGGATAAGCCCATGCTATAATTGAGGAATTACATGTACTCTCACTATGTCGCGAGTGTATCAAAACTTACTTGTTGGTGTAACAGTATTGCTCGGATACTTATTGTCAACCAACTTATACTCTTCTTTATCCAGCTTCAAACCCATACCACCTACTGTGAGGTATTTCGAGTCGTTTCGTTGGTCAAATTCGGCCGTTCCCGGCAAAGGAATGTGTGAGATAGCTTTCATATCCACCTTCGGCTCCGGAGGAGGGCTTTCATTCGACGATGACCTCAATTTTATTTGTTATATGGACGTTGTGGCAATATTGCAAATTTTTCATGCTCACCCAGAAGGTGTGCGTCCAGTAGTCTGCAGTAGATGCGTCTTTTTCAGCTGCCGGTCTTTCGCTCGTCGATTTTTGAACCAGACCTATAAAAGTTTTTTGGAAAAAATGTGATGCAGGATAACTTGCTACAATTCAAGAGTTTGTGTTTGCTAATCACAACCTTTCACATCAATGCATCGCCACTGCGTGTAATGCCTTTTTCATGAAAGTCAAAGTCGAAGACTGACCTGAACTCTGGCTTCCTGCAGATTTATGGCACGAGCGACTTCTTCCCTTTTGTAAAGATCAGGATAGTGGGTCTCCCTGAAGACACGCTCCAAATGCTCGAGCTGAAGCCTGTTGAAGGATGTCCTTTCGCGGCGTCCATTGCGGCGAGTCCCGTCGCTGAAACAGAGGCGTCAACGTAATGTAGACTATGTGTCAATGTGATTAACAAAATGTAGGGATTTATCGTATGATACGGATTTTCTCGTGCTTAGCAAACTTAGAAGGAGATAATCCTGCAAATCCAGCTGATTCTCACCCTGAGGCGTTGGGACTGGCCGGGTGTCGTAGCGACGTCGTGGCGTGAGTGTTCGCTATCGAATTCGGAAAAACGAAAGGCGAGTACTGCAACGTGGGTTGAGGAACGAATGAGGGGAAGGGGCTGTAGCTGGAGAAGGGGGAGCTCGGTACCATCCCTCTACTCTCTGAAACAACAGCAAATCGATGGAGACGCAGGCACCGAGAAGCCTTTGATAATGGACGGGATAAGCAATAAAGGTTAATCCGTTGATATTGAAATGGGCAGGATTTACGCTTCAAATAAATTCCACACTGCAAGCAAAATATCAAAACAGCAGTGAAATTCACAAGAAATCCAACTTAAATGCACAAAATTTGAGACCTATCGAATTCATTGCAGATCAACATCTTATGCTAATAGTGTAAAGCGTGTGAGTGAAAAATGTGATTCATACTACCGTAATCCTCACACAATGCAACCACTTATCATTAAATGCCATCCAGTATGCGAAATATCACGAGTATTAAGCTTGTGACATTCAATAGCAGTACAATAAGAATAAGACGAGCATGTGACTGTGTGATGAAGGTGATAAGAAGAAGAAGGAGATCGCTGCAGCCAAGAATAAAAACCATTAATGGCGTTGCATTGCCAAAATGTACAGTAGTTTGGACCCAAGCCCGCCATAGCATCGAGGGCGGGCCATCCATGTGGGCACGCCCTCGTTACGGTAGCCGGCGAGGTGCAACGCTCGTGTGGAACGCTGAGCACACATTTGGAACTAAACGAGATTTAATTGATTCTAAGTGTAATTTCAAGTGCCTACAAAAAAAACCTCTGTGAAACTGTAGCCTAGTTTATACCGGTAAATTTAGCAAGCAGGAAGAAAAGGAACGTGTCTGTCGAATCTTTACGTGGTTTTGATGTCTACTAAAGAAACGAGTACCATATCACATACTGAAAAGATACTTTATGAAGTATCAAAAGATAGAAGAAACGTGAAGAAACGCAATTTGATACTCCGGCGGGATTCCCTAAACACAAGTTACTAGTCAGTGGCATCTTGAGAGAAAATCAAAATTTTTGCACTTTTTTTTCAAAAGGTTCACACTTCTTATCAATGAAAATAGCTTAAGAAGATAGCTTAGAGGCTAAGCATGGCTTAAGATGCTTAGGCAACCTACTGCATGTAATACTAATCCTCTTAACTTCTCCTATCTCGCCAGGTTTCCTAGATTTGCACATTTCAGTGTTCTCTGTCAGAGCAGGCATAATGTGCTACCTTTATTATTGTCTCTCAAAATTTAGGCATTTGATTGATTTTCTTGATATAAGGATGCAAATTCAAGCTCACGATAGTCGGTCAATATCTTGCCCTCAGTGATAATCCTTAACGACTGACAGTCTGGACTAGATTTCCTTCATTCACTTCTCATGTCTACTCTAGCGAAAAAAAACTGAACTTTCAGCATGCCTTGAGTTGCTGTTATCGTGCGAAATTTCATTTGATAAATTTCAAGATTTATGTCAGATTTAGATTTTTTTCCATGGTTTAGATTTCTGCCTTGCTTTCATAACGTTGTTAAAGCTCATGTCCTCAAAAGTATGAAGCTTTAGCCGAGGCAAAATAACATTGTTTTGTGAGCACTGTTGCGTAACCGCAGTTACTTGGCTTGACCTCCGGAATTAGTTGTGCAACATCGGAAACACATCCGCAAGTCGCGTCCGCTTCGACACGCGCAATAGACTTTGTGTAAACGTCGAGTTGTGGGTCGATTCTCGATCAGGACACATCTTTCGAGCATTGGTCGTAATCGCTTGCAGTAGATAACAATCAGCCGTCTGGACTAATCCTCACCTATTGGGGTGCCGGCTAATAAGCGTGCGTGCAGGCGAAAAACAGATCCTGCCTTCACCTGCCCCTGGATAACATCTAGGTGATGAGGAATAGAGAATAAACGATGGGACCAGTTATTTTTCAACATTCAACGTTCAGAGGGGGCATAATTCGCAGGGGCTTCAGATGTGTGACGTGGTGTACAGGTGATCACACGTAATTAGTCGGGCAATGATAAGCGGATGGAGTTCGCTGTGAGAAGATCGCCGGTGGGGAGTCTTGAAAGAGAGCCTTTGATCGAGCCTCGAATGCCCCAAGCACGATCCACATCCTTTGCACGATGCCGTTACTGCACCTGTTTCGCCTCCTCAATCCTACTGAACCGAAACTACAAACTGATGCAGCCAGCGTCCACCCTCATTCCTCAGCGATCAAGCTCACTCCGTTCCCACAGTTTGCCGCTATGTCAGCGTCTTGCATTGTCCGACTTTTTACTTCGGTCCGTTCAAAGCAAGCGCTATTTGCATGAGAGTTACGTAGGGTACTTGATGACAAGTTCCTTGAATCAAGGACTTGCTATCCACGGTGGGGGGTGTCCGAGGTCGCACGTCAGCTCCTCAAGGGTGTCAGTGCAGCGTTTGAAGTCGTGTGGAGTCGAAAGCTACCTTTGTAATCATGTACAAGTAAAAATTTATGCAAAAGACCGAAAAGAACACCACAAATTTGCATATTGTTTCTATATATTTTCTTAATATCTCCTGCAAAAAAATAACAGAAGAAAGCGTTAGTCTCTATAACATCCAGCTCAAACTATTGATTTTACTACATAAATATCAGAATGACAAAGATTTGTTAGGCAGGGAATATATTTGATAGATGTCGCTTACATTTCCTTTTGAAGCAAGCATCCTTCGACTTGAAAAGAAGGAAATATTTTCGTGCTAATTCTCCATCTTCACAAATGAGTCGAACTCAGGCCTTCTTGCTGATTTTTCAGACCCCTAAATTAGCGGCACAGTTACTGAAGTGATATGTATAGCTTGATACAACCACTCGTTGATATTTTCCGGTGTATGATACTTGTAAACATCAATGAGAGCTTTCTAGCAGCGCTTGAAAAATTCTTTTCTGGCATATGGCAAAGATAGAAACTCAGAGATCAGGAGAAATACTGAAAGACAGAAGATAAATGAATTTTTGTGGCTAAAATCGCTACTCTTACTGGATTTTGAAGTTACTTTTTGAGTTTCAGTTCTATAAGGTACCCTTTCTAACAGTACAAGTTCGTGGTGATTAGATGTTTTTGCATACTGTTACGATTTTCGCATTTTTCGTCTTTCAACTTTTTTTCAAATTCTCTGGAATTCATTATGAAACACAACATTTAATTCGCATGTATTCGCAGATGCATTAACTTAATAGGTAATATGTAGTATGTTGACACGGACATTTATCCAGCGATGAACCGTCAAAGCACTAGCGGCTACTTGTACTCTATTGCTCCCACCACTGTCTCGATTGTCAATCAGATACAACAATGCTCTGTTTCGCTCATAAGTCATGCTCTTCGGAATATTGCCTACGGAACACTGCGAGATAAGCTTTACGGACAGGCCTGTAATCCTTGCGAAGACCATGAGAAAAGTCCGAGCTGCTGAAACATCCCGGCATTCTACTACTGCAATCATTTCATTGTATATCAAAGACAAATTACTCACCGAGGTGCTATCCTGATTCGTCCGATAAAACGCGCTCCTCCTCGGTTGATACACCTGTCCGGTGTTATCGGAGCGCAACGTGACACTAAGCCGAAAATAGCAACTATTCTACGGTATCCCGTAGCTGAACTGAGGTGCGTGCATTTAGGAATAGATGACTGATCTGCGTCTTTCCTCCAACATTTCTATCTTACATTGATAGCACCAACTTTTCGTTGATGCTATCATTTACCAGATGACTGTTCTTAGAAGAATGCTGTATGCTACTGAGGTCGTTCAAAAAGTTCAACCTAAGGATATGGTCTTAATGTTTGAGTTATTGGGAAATACGTGTTAGAACTTTTCCAATGTTAGGCACTCACTTCTTGAATCGTATAAAGTTAGGTTAGCTGGACATCCCATGCTATCATTTGCCAAAATCCAAGGTTTTTCAGAATTTTTGAAAAAAGGATTTATGGAATGGCTATTAAAGTCGTTTCTAATCTTTTGTGCCTAAAATACCTACTTGTTGAATCCAACACCATAAAAACTTATTAGTAAATAATTCGGAATGTTCCAGCCGTCCGCTGGTATTTCTCCCCACAGCTGCTTTCTTCAGCTATTGCTTCCTCGGTGTAAACAATTTATCTAGATTCCTTCCTAGCTTTCTTATGCAGCGCTGACTCAAAAATGGTTATATGAATTCACTTATGATATGCTATAGACGTGAATATTTTAATCCCTCTCCAAAAAGTCCTATCAAATTGTGCAGGCATTAGAAAGCTTGTTTTACTATACATTATCCGCTCTTTGCTGTTAATTTGTGAGTTCCATACTTCTTCATACTCGCTTCACTCCCAAGTAAAGCTGTGTACGCAGTATAGACAACGTCACAAGCTCAGTGCCATCAGCGAAACAAACGAAACGTCATAGGGGGTAGCTCCCAGTTTTCTCTCCTTAGTTTTCCTTAGCGTCGCACAATATATTGGGAGTTGGTTATGTGGCCGTGTGTGTATTAGCGGGTTTACGCGTATTTCACTGGAGCACCGAATCATATGGGACTTGTTGCAATCTATCTAAAAAA